TACTACAAAGTCATTGGCGGACCATTTTCCATTCTTTTTTTGCCATTTTAAGTTCTATTTCTAGACTCTTTACTTTTTAAATTTGAGTAATATAGCGCGCTAGCAAGTTTTAAATTTTATCAATATTGTTTAATATGTTATAGCAGGTTAATTATTATTTTTGTCATCTTAATTATCACTAACGTTTATCATAGATAGTTATATATATAATTACCTTACAAGTGATCTGATTGTGTAAAAACATCTTTTACATTATCGAGGAATTGATGAACTTAGACTTATTTAACTTTTTTTTTAGAGTTATGCGCAAGTTGTGAAGATTTACTTTTTTGGTTAACGGCAAGATATGAGGATTTCCTAATTATGTCATTCCAATCTCTGCAATTTGTCTAGACATACAGCACTAATCAGACATAGGTAGAATAGAGCATAAACACAAAGATAATATTTAGTGCGGATCGGAACAGAAAACTCCTTTTACTTTGCCTTGTTAATTTGTAAAACTAATATAGAGTTCAATAATTATCAGATTGGATATAATTTATCACGATTTATTTAAAGTTTAGACTAAAATGTTGAGGAAAATCAAATGCATTTTGATCTCTCTGTCACATATATATATTTAAGTGTTGCACGTAAGAATTTCAGGGTCTATCGAAAAAAATCTTTCTAGGGAAAAGATTATGTATACACCACCTTCCTAAACCTTGGAATTACATTGAGTATGTTGTTGTTGTCGTTGTCTTGCATTATTATTTTGATATTTTAATCATGTGGGATTTTTTTTTTTCAAGGAAAAGACATGTATAGTACATTAAGGATAAGAAGGACAACAGGGAAAATAAATGGAATCCATATTTTTTTGTTTCCATTTTGTTTGTGGTGGACCGATAATTGCACTAGAGCAACTTAAGATAGAATTCGAAAGAAATTAAAGGGAAAAAAAAGGAGTCTGAATTTGATTGAATGCAAGCTGAGGTTGAACTCATAAATTTTCCCACTTATTCTTAAAATTCTGGTATATGTAGAAAATTAAATATCAGGATTGATTATATACAAAAGGATAACATAATTAAGATATGAAGATAATCTTAGTAGATAAATAAACAAAACAAAAATCAAATTAGTGACGTTCTACATTCGGTTCCACTAAAAAAAAAAGTTTCGATATGTTAGTTTTTAGGCAGCCTGTTAGTGTTCTTATAACAAGCACTATGAATAAATATGATTATCAAATCAATGTCCACTATTTGTTTAAAAACAAAAAATGCCTGAGCTTACCTAACTAAAATATGAAAGTTCCCGTACAATCCCTACAAACGTACAAATTAAATGTTGGAGCATGAGTATATATATATATGTGATGTGTACATTATTATGACATACTTGTCCAACAAACACATGGCAATTTGAAGTTTAGTCTTAAACCTCAGCTGTACTTCTCAAACAACCTTAACCAAATCAGTCTCAAACTTTAGCAGACAAAAAAGAGAATTTGGACAAGATGGTTAAGGAAAATGAAGTGCCTGGAAGATTGGAATGGAGGGTTAACATGCCTAATGGCTCATCGCGAATTTTAGCGACTGAGTCTAGGGAGACATGCAGTAGATTGCAAAGCTTAGTTATGGGGATTGTTTTAAACATCAGGGGATTTCTTGACAAGGCATGGAGTTTAGCTGTAAATGAGCCAAAAAAGGTTGTTCATTGCCTTAAAGTAGGATTGGCTCTTTCCCTTGTGTCAGTGTTTTATTACATGAGGCCTCTTTATGATGGTGTTGGAGGGAATGCTATGTGGGCTGTTATGACTGTTGTTGTAGTTTTTGAGTATACTGTTGGTGAGTGTGATTCTTCTCTGTTATGTCCTTTCTTTTATAGATTCATTGTGCATGTATATGAGTATTGATTTGGAGTCAAAATGGCAGGTTCTACACTTTATAAGTGTGTAAATAGAGCTATCGGAACATGTCTAGCTGGATCTCTAGGAATTGGTGTTCATTGGGTTGCAAGTCAAGCTGGAGATAAATTTGAACCTGTTATTCTCCAAGTTTCAGTTTTTCTCTTGGGTATGTAACAGTTTCCTAAATACGTATATGTTTATGAGAACTTTGTACTTACTAGTTATGGATTGCTGTTTGATAAATGACTGGATGGACGTTAACATGTTTATACATGTCTTCCTTGCAGCTGCTGCAGCAACCTTTTCTCGGTTTATACCTACAATAAAAGCGCGATTTGACTATGGTGCCATGATCTTTATCCTTACCTTCAGCTTAGTGTCAGTGTCAGGCTATCGCGTTGATAAGTTGGTTGAATTGGCTCATGAAAGGGTCTCCACTATTGCTATTGGGGCCTCCATCTGTATTTTCATTACCATGATTCTCTGTCCAGTATGGGCAGGTACTGAGCTGCATCATCTCATTAGTAACAACCTGGAAAAACTTGCTGATTCCTTGGAAGGTAATATACATTTGTAAACTGAATAATGATATCACAAGTACATGCTATCAATGATAGAAGAAACTAATAGTTCTTGGACTTCAATATTCAGGATATGCTGCTGAGAACTTCAGTGTAGATGGCAGTAAAAATGTACATGAGAAAGATTCCAGTAAGAGATTGCAAGGCTACAAATGTGTTCTTAATTCTAAGGCTGCTGAAGAAACCATGGTTCGTAATCAACTTTCTCTGATAACGATTGATCTAGCCTGTAATATCTGTCAAATCTCTCTCCTGTTTAGCTAGTAGAAGATAAACTAAACGTCTTATATATATATATGACAGGCCAATTTTGCCAGATGGGAGCCAGCACATGGAAAATTCAATTTCCGACATCCATGGAAACAGTACCTCAAGATTGGAGCTTCAATGAGAAGCTGTGCCTATTGCATTGAGACTCTCCATGGTGGCATTAACTCCAATACTGAGGTAAAAACACTCAGGATTAAAAGATTTCTAGCTATCTGAATGAGTCTTGCTGATATCTTTTCTGCTAAGATAGTAGTTGAGCTTAAATCTTTCTTATTTTGCTTGTGCCACAGACTCCTGAGTTCCTTAAGAAGCCTCTCAATGATGTCTGCATGAGATTAACTACTAGTTCCTCCAAAGTGCTAAAAGAGATGTCGAGTATGATAAAAACAATGAAAAATTCAACAAAGCTAGATATACTTGTTGATGAAATGAATTCTACGGTAGAAGGCCTTCAAAATTCCCTCAAAATCTTCCCAAGTTACCAGCATATACCAACCCCAGATCCCGCAACTGAAGAGACGCCTAATGGTACAGAAGAGCCTAGCTTGAAACCTACTGCTTTATCGCTCATGGAAATTGTTCAAATGGCCACCCTAACATCACTGCTCGTAGAAATAGCATCAAGAATAGAAGGGATTGTAGAGGAGGTCAAAGAACTGGCATCCCAAGCAGAATTTAGAGACGAAAGCAGCAAGAAGTCCAAACAAACTCAAACAGAGATAAATGGAAATGATGGTAATGAGCATGAAGTAACAGTGAAGACTCTTCAACAAGTCTGAGTTAATCACCATTATAGGATGAACCAAACATGGTGGGGTTTTGACAGGCTCTCCGGTTTTATGAGACATCTGTAACTGTAAACTGCATATTGTACAGAAAACAGATGACTTTCATTACTATAGTAGGAACATTTGAGGAAATATAGGATGAAGTTTCTTTCTCCTTCTCTTTTGCTGCATCTCTCTATCTATCTTTCTCCATTTTTCTACTCTTGAAATAAGTGCAGAGGATAAAGAACCATGTTTTTACATATTCTGAACTTTTTTGTCGACACAAATGCATTTCCGCAAGCTTCACTAGTTAGTAGAAATATAAATGATACAATGATAACAACTAAGCTATTTGAGTTTGTTCCTCCATATGAATCTGTCATGACATTACTATTTGAGTTTAGATAACCTAATTTTCTTTATGAGAACAAAAATAAAGCTGGCACAAGTTCAGCCTCTTATTCTTCATACGATTGAGCAGAAATATTATCCAGATAATATGTAGATCTAAGGTAATTAAACTGCATGAAGCAGCATGCACCAAACCCAGCTCTAGCTATATCTAAGCTACTTCTGAGTTTTAACCGTATCTCTGACTCGTCGCCAGAAGGCATACAGTTAACGAGGCATGAATTTACTGGTTTTATTTTTACCCTGTCAACTCTAGGTTGAAACAGATAGAATTATGTGAACTCCTTATAGTACAATTCAACCTAAACATGGTGACCTCACTGATGTCAAAATTAAATAATACTCCCTCCGTCCCTATTTACTTGTCCATATTTCCTTTTTTAGTTGTCCCTATTTAGTTGTCCATTTTGACAAATCAAGAAAGGACAACAAATTTTTTCCTATTATACCCTTATTTACACTTCTTGAAAATTGTAAAAGTGTATGTTGTTTCCCTCCAATTTATTTCACTTGAATTCAAATAAGTGGTTGTAATTTTGAAGTGAAAAGTTGTCATAAGGGTAAAATTGTAACTTCACTGTGCTAATCATTGTTGCCTTAATCTGTGTGTCATTTCTAAAGTGGATAACTAAAAAGGGACGGAGGGAGTAATGAAGAATCATAAGTAGGTAATCTTGTGTGACTAGATATAATGTTATATAAAAGTTTTTTTGGTAAGGAAAATCTGTCGGTAAAAAGAAATGGACATTCTTTCTCATATATCAGAGGTGAAATATTAGTTGTTGATATGAGAAGGGTCAACCTTTCTACTACGGGGAAGGCCAGGGAGTCCATGGAATACTTCTCTTCTCTGGGTTTCTTCCTGGAATTTCCATGAACCTGGCAGAGTTCTTGCCTACCAAATTAAGGAAGTGTTTTACCCAACCAGTAAAGGAAAAGGGGTCAATAAAGGAGGGAGGTGCGGTAGGGAATGAGAGCATTATTTCAGCTGATAATCCGCAGCAAGTCCATATTCTACATGATTAAAATGACTTGTTCAGAAAATGTAAAGACGTATCTTTGTACGCAGGATAACAAGCTAATACCAACAACTTATTTTCAATGTACATCGGATATGGTGGCACATATGGACAGCCAAATGGCAGTTCCTGGACCAGAAATCTCATCACAAATCAATACAACATCAATAGCATTTCCTACAAAATACACTGAGAATGATGTCACCTGTCAAGTAAGTGAATAGAATCATCATGTTCCACAATAGCTCCTTCATTGCTGCTTCCCCAGCCAAGGTTTACAGCTAAGTCTTCAACTGCGACTTTTATGACATCACTTCGAACACCAATGTCAGTAGCATATCTGCTCATACAGTACATTCCTGCAGTAACAGTGGCCACACCGACGGGACTAGGAATTAGAAACTTCAAGGGGGAGGAAAGAAGCGCAGCTAAAGGAGCACCGACAACAGAAGAAGCTTGTCCACTTCTTCCAACTCCCAATCTATCAAGTGTCAGAAGACCTGTTTTGCAATACAACGCAAAGTCCTCACAGTTGTTTTGGAACACATCATAGTTGCCAAATCCATTCTGGAGAAGATGCATTGCTCGGTGGATAACCATCTCCGGAGGGTCTGACACAGCAGTAGTGCAAGTTCCCCCTCGCACTTTGGAAAGGAAAACGGAGGGGCTTACTCCATATTCAAAGCTGTAGAGTGAACCAGTGCGGAGAAAGCAATTCAGACAAGAAAGTACAACACCGCTGTTAGGAAGCGTAAATCCACAGTCTGGAAAGATTGGACAGGATGAAGAAAGGCCTGATATTTCATTAGCAGCATCAGAAGAGCCCTCAACCCGTGTAAAATGAACCACTTTGCTTCCGCCAACGAAAATACCTATCACACCAAATTGCTTAGAAACTAAGACTTGTGAATATGATGATTGTCTCTCTACTAGTTTTTGGGAAGAGAAATGCAACTACCATTTATCATCTTCATCAAAAAAATGCAACTACCATTTATCACTAGTCCAAACAGTATAATAAGTTGGATCTCTATGAAATATGAACCAGCAGTGACTCAATAGTCAATAGTGACTTGCACGCCTTGGTAATCACAGCTGATTCACAGGAATTAATTCTCTTTTGATAGAGGGCCATTTATCAGCTCTACCAACATCAAAGCATACATGACAGAATTTTCAAAATAGTTCAACGAGCGCGAAGTACTTCCATGCACATGATATTACAGGGTCTCTTTGTGCGTGCCTAGGTAAAATTAACTTTTCCAGTTATTATTGTCATAAGGCATAGATAGCATGCAGAAAACAACACCAGAGAATCGTGAAGCAAAATCATGAGTAAAGGAGCCTGCAGAGACCAGATTTATGTCCACATGAAACAAAGAGTTACCAATTAATTCATGAATCAAGGCTCAAGAAGTCTTGAAGCGTATAAGAGTAGATACAAGTCCACATATGACACCATGATTGTAACAAGATTTTTGGATGAATCAATATTTGTACAACTCAAATTTAAGAACTAATGCATCAACACGGAGACCACAGAAAAAATTAAGGACATCTCTTTAGCGCAGCTCTAAACCTTGCATGCAAATCTGAAAACAGTAATCACTTCACGCAGCAAATACGCTGAAAATTTGTAAATATGTGAAGATTTGGAAAGTTAGTTTAAAGGCATAGATAATCAAGTTGATCAGACTAATATTATTCTATGCCATCTCAGGGAGACTACCGATTCTTTTCCAAGATTTATCAAAAATTCACTTCCTAAAACTAAGAATAGCATCAAAGAGGAACAGGATATGATTAAATTTAGTGGCTGCAGCTTCTTTTTCTACTAAAATGGGGCGGGGGATGTTGTAGTTGATAAAACATGTAACTAATAAGGTAGGAAGAATAACTTGAATAACTTATCTCATTACTCAAAGAATACAATGGTATAAATACATAAGGAGACTAAGTTAACTATGGTAACTAGATAGCCAAATCCCTATAAATCAGCTATGCTAATATATACACAATCATATACATATCTGTAGTGATTCTATAACAAAACACATGCAGTAACCATAGTCTAGAAATCTGTATTTAATACAAGTTTTAACTAAGTTACCCTGTAGGAGATTCTGAGGTAATTTTTTCCACAACATGAACAACTTATACGCCTTAATTTAACTAGGCAGGAGAACACAATAATAAGATTCAAACCTAAAAACCAAATATACTTATGGGTTGAATCTGAATGGTTAAGATTCAAACCTCCATTAAGTGCAAACAAATGAGGCCTAACACTGATGAATCAGGTGACAACACAAACTAGAGAGTGACTAATCATTTGAGAAGGCAATACAGGGAGCACAAGTTGGTCCATTTACACCTAAAATGCTAAAACAATGCATTGGGGGTACCCCAATATTCAAGAGCAACAACAGCTACTATGTCTCAATCCCAAGCAAGTTGGGGTCATGAATCCTCGTCCATCCATTGGCACTATTTAGACCCGTCTCATTAAAGCCAACTACCCAAAAATTAAAAGTAGCTTCATGGTCTTTAAAGTGCATTATCCTTTGTCAAATTAGCCATATAATTGTCACCCCACCATCGTTGAATGCCTGAAGCAGTTTGCGGAGCTATCGATTCAGCACTAAAAACAATGTTGCCATTACATTCATGGATTTGTATTATAAACTACACAAACACATCCATCTAATATAAGAAAACTCTGAATGCAACATCAAGTGATTTTGATAGGATGAAATTCAGTGGTTAGAGAATTGGCTGATGGTGTAAGTGACATCTCAATGCCTATTCTAATTTGATCAATGTCATCCCACTATGTCCAACTGAAACAGAGAAGTTAAAGTATTTCAATTTATCAGATAAAATAGCCTCTCTGAAGTTCATATGTGTTACTCTAATTAGTCTTCAGCTTTTCCTGCTTTTAAGCATAGCTAATGTCCAAGATAAAGCAAATGTACATTATTGTAATATACACTCCATTTGCAGAATAAGCTATTTATTGATCAAACACAAACAAAAAAGTTCCTCAATGCATGAAATTTCTACTAATTTGAGGGTCACAAAAGAGAGGACTCTAATTAACTAATGGAAGTAAATAAAAACTAGTACTCCCTCTGAGTCAATTTGTTCATCTTCCTTTACTTTTTAGTCCGTAAAAAGAGTGCCTCTTTCCTCTCTTTTTTTTGGCAACTCTTTAGTTCCACTTCCTACATGGCATCATGTATAAGATCACAAGATTAAAGGACATTTGAGACATTATCATATCTTTAGTTTAAGAGCCCAAGATTCAAAAGTAATTTCTTTCATTCCTTTGCTCGTCTTACTTTCTTAAACTCCGTACCAAGTCAAAACCAAACAAACAAATTGAAAACGGAGGGAGTACTAGATTAAATATTCTCAAACACATTGGAGAAATTTGATTTCATTGTGAAAAGACAAATCTTGTGTTCAGAACCAAATCAAAGACTTAAGAGAAAAAAAAATGAAAGAAGAAAGTAAATCAAGGAGTACAATAAAAGGAAAAAAATTGATAAAAAAACTTAACAAAATCAGCACACTAAAAGACTCAAACTTTACACAGCAGCGATTTGCCCAATGCAAGTAAGTAAATAGAACAAAATCAGCACACTAAAAGACTCAAACTTTACACAGCAGCGATTTGCCCAATGCAAGTAAGTAAATAGTACTAGTACTAGTAATTTAGAAGAACCCCACATTTCAGCTTTCTAATATGCATCAAAGATCATCATTTTTGGCCAAAAAGAGATGAAATGAAAAAGGAAAACACACCCCAGACATACAAAATTATCATAAATTTCTTGTTTATGAGTGATTGGGAAGGAGGCATTGAAAATTACCATGGTGAGAGTAAGCAAAAACAGCTCTGTAAGTATAGATATGGTCTCCTGGTTTGATCTCACTTCTGTCCACTCTGTTTGTCAACAAACCCATCTTCTCTCCCTCTACTCTTCCTTTTACTCCTCCCCAGAATGCAAATGTACTTGGAATAAAGTTGCAATCTTTAACAACCCCACCTACAAAAAAAAAGATTTATTAATCAACGAAATGCAGTGCATTTTATAATGAAGACAAAATGACGTGGTAGAAGGTGATTGGCTCACCGAAGCATCTACTCGACAAACGTTACCGATGAAAATTATTACCGATTTGCTTTTTTCTGTCTCTCTTCATCTCCTTTTGACAGCTAGGGTCAGCAATTGAAATCACCGAGCAGGATTATTTTGAGCTATTTCCAATACATTTAGGACATTTTTTACCCTTTTCCGTTAAAGGTTTAAATTTTTTGGATAAGAGAGACCTAGAATTGTCAAAAGTTAAGTGAAACTGTATATGCAGATGCAATTCTTTGCCCCTTTGATAAGGCAAGAATTATTTTCAAAGATTATACTAGTAGACAGCTTTTGCGTTCCTTCAAGAATTTGATTCCTTGCTCGTAACATCACTCTTTTGAGTGAGTTCATTAAAACTAGAAATATAGCAGCAAATTACGTGGTACATTTGCGTAGATACAGAAGCTCTCTCATAATTGGATCTCTCTGTAAAATTCTACCTACAGGAGAGTGGAGCTAGTGCAATGATAGTGTGTACATTTTCAAATATACAGATCAAAGGAGTACTGTACTAGTAATAATTAACTGATAGATTAACTTCAGCTAGTTCTCCAAGAAGATTTTCCAATCATAGATTTTCACGTCAAAATCAGAAGTATTCACGAGTGAATGTCTCAGTTCCTCAGCTGACTCAGCACTTTTTGCCAATAACAAGGCGAAACCCCCACCACCTGCACCTACAAGCTTGTATCCACAGCAATAGTGATCACAGAATGCGAAAAGTTTATCGACAAACTCATTGCTGCAGAAAGGATCCAGCTCCTGATGTAATCTCCATGCCTCCAGCATTATGTCCCCAAGGGCATCAATGTCGCAACTCATTAAAGCTTCTCTAGCAATCTTTGCAAGTTCAGTGAGGCGCTTGATACTTGAAACAAGTAGGTTGTCTCGTTGAAGGTAACGAGTAACCACCTTATGCAGCACTTGGTGTGCAAGTCGAACCTGCATATACATTGTCAACAGCTGAAGTTGATAAACTCTAGAACAGAACTAGTAGTTGGATTGTAATGGGTGTAAATTTAGAGATGAATTAACCACTAAAAAAATCATGAGTACCATGATAAATGCAAACGTGAAACACAAACTTCTAACAAATCCGATGAATTTAGTTACAGTTCACAACTTACTTGACCAGTGAAAACTACAAGAAGCCGTTGCTGCAACTCCTTTATTAACTGAGGGGAAGCCAAGAGGGGAATGACTTGAAGCCGCAATGGTATTCCGGGAAAACTTGCAGTAAATTTAATGCCAGCATATAGACCTCCAATTTGATCTTGCCAACCACCTCCTGTGCCCATGAGCTGTTCTAGGACTAAAACAAGTCTTGTGACATTTTCGTTACTTTCGTCTCCATCAGTAATACGTAAAAGCCCTTTAACAACGGCTGCTGCTAAGATGCTAGAAGTTCCCAAGCCACTGCCCCTAGGAACATTGGCCCAAGTCCTGATTCGCAGGGCCACTGATTGAAGGATCTTTTCATGGATAACACTGGTTACAAGCAATGCAGATTTTACAAGACGAAATGGATCACTGATTTCAAATGGAAGGGCAATAGATGATAGCTCTTCAATTGATAACTGGTTTCCAACATCATCACTAATAAATATCCCAGTCCCTTTCTCTATCTCTATCACTGTGCCAATAGGAAGAGAATTTTCCAATGTTATTGCCATGTTCAGAACGCAACCAGCACGCTCTAGACTCCAAGGAGGTGTATCACTCCAACCCCCAACAAAATCCACTCGAACAGGTAGTTCAATCTTCACCGTCCTATGGTGGAAAGACTCACCGCAACAACCACTAGTATTACCAGGATTTGATGCGATAGAGAACCAACTGGAAGACCCTGCTAAGTTTTCTGATAAAGAAATGACATTTCATTAACAGACTGTATTTACACCACATGTGAAGCATCGCAAATTGAAGGAAAGGAAAGAAAGAAAAGAATAGGAGGAAGATAAAAGAAGCACCAGACTGTCCAGTCAAAAGAGTACCCAGATGTTAGAGAGAAATTAGATAACAGGTCTTAGAAAAACAGTTCTTGGATTTAGTTGGTCAGTGTTCGTAACAACTTTCAATATGTCATTTTACCTTTGAACCCGTATCTCACAGCAGACGCAGTTTCATCAGCAATGGAAGCCCATACTTTTTGCTCAGTTTCAAGTGCCATCTCTTCATTGCCGCACGCTCGTAGCAGATCAGCATGAACTTGATATGCCCTGCTCTTAGGAAGGATTGCTGAATTTTGCGCTTGAAGATTTGGGCAATGGGATAGAAATCCTTTGCAAACTTCAATTCCGGTTGATTCCTTTTGAAGAATCTCTTGGCACAACTGACTTAAGTTGCGGCCAAGTAAGCCGAAGTTAAGGCAAGCATCGACAATCCCTGAAGCTAAATCAGCCTGATGATTACTAGAACCTAAACACATGTGTGGAAAGTTGATGGATTTATGCAACTCCTCCAAACTAATCCGCTGGGACCGCTTCCATGAAGAACGCAGTGTTTCATTTCTTTGGTTGTCCAAGCCCATTAACCATGACGCCAAGGTGAGCATTTCAAAGTATGGAAGAATAGGGAATATTTTGGCATTCCACAAGCATTTTTCCAGAGTATTCTCTGAGATCCACAGATCAGTATCTTGAATGCCTAGATCATCTAAAACCTTCCTCCAGGGTTTTCCACAAAAGGTACCATTTGAGAGTGGAATCTTTGGGTTATCATGGATGCCACAGTACACAATAACTCTTTCCGTGTGTTCCACTAAAGGAACCTCCCAAAAGCAATGACGATCTGGAAGCATAAATCTGAATGGTACCTTTTCTGTCATATCACTGGCTGCTGGCACATTAACACCAACAACAATAGACTGGGAACCAATCTGTATACCACCAGAAATGAAGGAATCATAAATGAGAGAGTCTTCTCCTATAGAGACTCCTGGCTCTATTTTACTGGAAAGGATAATAGCTGAGGCAGCGATATCAGAAACATTAGTTGCTGGAATAGAACAGAGGTGCCTTCGACCAACAAGTCCAGCACCAGTTTCACTCATGTGGTCTAGAACTTCACTAGATGTTCCAAAATGTAAGAATAATAGATCACCTGCATCAAATTCAAGAAAAGAAGATGAGTTTAATTCTAAAAATCAGTTTACACGTATCATAAGCATAGTAAATGCACAGTTAAGGTTTCCATAGAGTGCAACAGTAGATATTTTATATGAATAATACTGTTTTGGTCCATAATTCTTTAACCAAGTTTGATTCAGTGAAATTCCTCTAGAATTTTCAAATCACAGAGTCCTAAAGTGATAGTATTAAGATCCACTTAACTAGTTAAGTGACTTCTGAATTATTAATGTAAATTATGTCACCTATAAATAGAGTCCAAGATGGATTAGCAATCCCATTATGTTTCAGGATTTTAAGACTAGGATATTCCCATTCAAATAAAGTCACTATATGATTAAGTGATTTCATTAAGACAATCTCTTCATCAACTCACAACTCTTGTATTTTTGGAATGCATTTCAAAAGAGTACTTATTTTCCAAAAAAATAAATAATGGGTAGACGGCCATTTAGGTTAATGCTTCTTTACACACAAGAAAAAAGGAAGCAGACTCTGAAATATGCAATGACTTAGGAAATTACTAACATCATCACACAGTCAACAACATTCAACCTACAAGCACAATAGCTGAACATCTCTTGTTCTCCCAAACTGTTGACAAGTTCATCACCCAAAGGGCGGGATCGCAACCATTCGTGCTTTGCTGGTACCCAAGCGGCTACAAGGTCTTCATACAAACTCATCTGCCCAATAACAGAAGTCAAAAAAGTAACTCACCTACATAGATCAAGACCCACTTGAATATAAATAACAAAACTAAACTATGACTTTAGATAACTGGAAGAGTAACTTCTTTTCACTGTGCCAATACAAACAAAGTAAAGTGCAGACACAATAGCAAGAAAGAGAATAATTTTCTGCAACATATGGAGCTAAGGTATGTCAAACTTATGATTAAATGAGAAATAACAAAATCTAACCCAATAGGTTACTGAAATGGCTGCATGTCAAATAGCATCCAGATTAGGGAAACGGTGAATAAATAAAGATATATGACGAAGAAAAAGAAAGTCATCAGGGAATTAAGAGTACATCAGAATGGAGGAAACAAAAAAATTATAGGATGAGCAAATTTCATGCTATATTAAACATTTGTTGTTTTACAGGCCAAATTATTGCATCTTCAGAAACTAGCTACCAAGAAAATATCCACCTTATATACATATTATCCTGGGAAAAGATATTAAAAGACTCAAATGGCTCTGCACTCAGTTACTTGAAGTGCTTTTTCCAAAACTACAGAACATTTAACAGAAAGAAGAACGAAAATTTTAATAATTCACACTTTGGCCATAATAAAAGCATGCTTTTGTGAAATAATACACCTCTGCACATCAAATGAAGTATCAATTATCTAGTATGATAAACTTCTCGCAATAAACGTAGAATACTTCTACTAAGAGAAGAGTACACATTTCCAAGTATTAGATACTGGTACATGGAAATACAAAAAAGAGTTGAGTAAAGCCACTGATAAATGATCACTTGCCTCTTTTTTCTTTTCCAGAAGTTCTGAGATCATTGATTGGCTCGAACAGGCAAGTTTTACTAGATTTAGCCATGCCTGACCTCTAACTGCTATTATCCCAGTATCAAGCAATGTTCTACCATCATCCAGAATAGCTTGGTGCCTAACAAGCTCGTCCAAGCAAGGTTTCTGAAGCAGATTCTCCACCAAGTTGATGGAATAAGTATCATTTGAAATCCCAGATTTTGCTGCAACTATAACACCATGATTGGAAGCAACGTCCAGCGTAATAGGGACAGTCACAATGCAGGATGCATCCTTCGGCATAACCATAGTTGAGGCATCAAAACAAGGAAGAACATCCCCAGTCATTGTAAGCATCCCACCTGCAAAAACTCTTTGACTCTGCTCAAAATGGTGTTTCATATAGAAAACAGAGATTATAGCCCAGTACATTAGCGAAAAGTTGACATCTAAGTAGATAGACTATGTTTTTTAACAGAATAAAAGTATAAGCAAATTAATCAACTATCTTATTGAAAATAAGTATCACTGATTATGCATGCTGATTATTTGATAGGGTTAAGTACCTTCATTCTCAAAAGCTTGTCTTGCACAAGATGCAATAGCAAGGATGTGATCAAAGAGCAGGGGAACTGGTCCATCTTGGTCATCAGCTGCCAAATAAGGAAGTGGCAGAAACACTTTTCCCATAGGATTTGCCCATGGTACCCTTTTAGAATCACCTCCAGCATGAAGTAATAAGATGTGTTTTTTGGCAATCAAGTCGATAAATGATGGAGAAGGTTCTTTCCTCTGAGAATTTCTGCACTGTATCAAAGAGAAGCAAGTCATTTACTTACAAAGTTGCACCTGCTCCTTGCTGATGCATGATAAATTGATATCCCAAAAAAGATAGCAAGAAACACTTGCGCGGCTGGTCTTTAATAGTATGAAATTAGGGACTGTTCAATGGAGTTGGTAGCCTAAAGTCAAATCTTAATAAGAGTTCTCAAGTATATTCAATAAAACTAGTTTCTGTGTGTGTCACACGTGCATCCCGTGCACCACATGTGTATCTCATGTCAATTAGTAAAACTATTTTAAAGTTTACATACATATTATTGTTAATAATTTGTGTGTGAGTTCCTAAAATTTAGGGGCTTGAAGCACTTGCAATAGTGACTTGTTTTATTGAGTCGGCCCTGCCTCCACCATCTGTCGGCCAAAGACCATGGATGGAGAACTTTTCCTTAACAGTAGTTATGCACCTAAAGTAGGAGGCCAGTGAAGGACGTACTGTATAACCTGATAATTCTGCTAACCGGTAACAAGTGGACAAATAAGAGTCACCAAAAAGAGGATGATCTATGCTTCCTAGCAATTATATTATGTGTGTGTGTAAGAATGATGTGCATGTAGTGATATGATCTACTCATGTCTAGTACTAGCTATTTATAAAGGATTTCAGAAACTGTTGCAGAAGGATAAATCATTCTGCAAAAACCTTTCAAAAATATGAAGTGCTAAGAAGCTGGAACACAGATGGCAATGCAGTGAAGAAGGAGGAGAGATGGAAGATGGTCCCTGCATGTATTTGGTGAACCATATGGAAAGCGATGAATCAGAGATGTTTTGAAGGCAAAAAGAGTAACATACATAAGATCATGATAGACTGCTTAGGCCTCTACTATATTCGTGTAAACAAGTAGTTATAGATAGCACAGAAGATGTTTTTAATGCAATTGATTGGTTGTAATTAGAATATTAGGATTTTGTAAAAGAGACAACTTTTGTGATGGGGGACTACATTTTGTTGTAGCATACCTGTGGATATATAGAAGTAAAGTTTACCATTCTCAAAAAAAAAAATCAATTTGCATTAGTTTTAGTTTGTTGAGTTATACCTTTTTACTACTTCCATTTCAAAATAAAATGTGTCAATTAATATTCTTGGTAAAATTTGGGGGGCCCAACTAAGGCATATGGCTTACCGGCCCTATATGAAATTAGAACTTGGCTTAGTGATCCATTTAAAATCAAGAATTAGCTTGGGAGTTCAAAGTTTCAACCAACGACATCAAGAGCAGTGTTCACCCTTTTTTCATTTAACTAATGGAGATACCTGAAAATCCTCTCAAGTAAAAATAAAATTTACCTATTCTCAAAATTTATGCGTTTGTCTTGTATAGACTCATGACTTGCATCAAGATTTATATCAAACTAAGCTTTTGCAACCCATATTCAACAGACTTTCTGGATGGAGATTGGTGGGATTAAGTGTAACTGGGTCCAGTATTCCCAATGATAACCTAAGCATTTTGAGGTGTCACTGGAAAAATTAACAAAAATGTCGCTCTAATTCAAATGTCATAAGTAAAAGCTATGGAGATGAGGAATTTGGTCCAATGTATCTCAAATATATAGGCTTAGAGACGAGACCTGAAAAGGACAAGTGTTTTTGTCCAACACCTTTCACTAATACCCGGATTCTCATGTCAAATAAAGGAAAACTTTGAAGTTCATATATATACACAGTGCCTTTAAAATCCTGAATCACTCTGTAAAACTTTCAAATTTCCCATAAGGATTGCATCAAAATTGGTACCTGAGATTCGAGAGAAAGCTGTTGGTAATGTTTAGCAAGTTCCAAAATGGCATGAAGAGTAGCAGCACCAGAACCGATTCGCTGGCCATGGGGATCGGGAACAGCGAGTGTTACAGTGGAATCGGCGATGCGACCCATGCGTTTGGCTCTCTTGAGCTGCCATTCATAGAGCTGAGCTTGTTCAGGACTCGCCGCCGTGAGCACAATTGCATCCCACGTCGGAACCCTGGCCGGGTGCCGTACCGATAATCTTAAATGATACCACGATTTCCGTAATATTGCAGCCAAGTCTGCTTTGACTCGGCTTCTATGGTTGTACTTCCTTTCCATTTCTGCTATTGTCGGAATTTGACCGGAGAAAAACGCAGATCAGTAACAGAGTATGCATACACTGCTTTGAAGCAACTTTAGATCAGTAACAGAGTATGCATATACTGCTTTGAAGCAACTTTAGATATTCTAAGGCAAAAAGTAGAATCATATATCAGTTGATTGAGTACAAAATAGGAAACAGATGACACAGCGTTAAAAAATAATGGCGAAAATGGCGTCGCCCGGACTCGAACCGGAGACCTTCAGTGTGTTAGGCTGACGTGATAACGAACTACACCACGACACCTGATCGTTGAATTTCTCATATATATATATATATATTAAATTTATACTCCAATTTGATCATCTTGTATGCTAAATTTATAAATATAAACGTCCTTAACAAACTCTACTACAAGTTTGAATATCGTTTATCGCATAGATAATTAGTTATGCTTCAACCTCTTTTGTTATATCACAATAATTAAATAATAATTTATGTTCATATTCGTCATACATCTCTATTTGAACTTAATAGCAATTATTACTTGTCATTTTGAATAATGTACATTTTAATTATTTTTAAAATAACAGCATGTTCAAGAAACACTGTTTAGTACTCATAAAATTACATGTAAATTGTGATTGTTTTAACCTAATTTATATTAAAAAAACTTTACGGCAATCAATCAATATATAAAACTTCCTTTAAATATTTTTATGATCTTGATGATGGGGTGTGGTGGTACAACAAAAATGTTACCCTTAAGTAAATTTGTTTTCCATCCCAAAGAATAATATGCATCCTTTTTTATTTCTTAAATAAAGTATCATCCAAAAATCTTCCTATAAAATGGGACGAAAAGAGTCAACGTAACATATAAGAAGGTGTTTTGATCGCCGTAGTATTTATTTATTTATTTATGATTGATGAGCAAACATTAACGGAACAGGTGTTCGTTGGAGCATTATTTTCTGCCATCTTATTTCAAAAATTCCACATACCCCAAAATTATTACCTTTGCTCTTTCTCTTTCCTGCAGCTAAAAAAGTTAATCGATTTTTGCTCTGTGTCTATCATCACTTCTTATCTATAATAGTTTATACTTTTTTTCATTTTCTTTTCCCCTATCATCTTTTAGCCCTTCTTTATCTTAATATTATATAACTTTTCTTTGGAAGGGTTAATTAATTAATTGCATGAGGAATATATATATATTTTTATGAAGAAGAAGGTGATGGTATAATTAATGTGAAATTTGGGAATTGGGATGACAAGAATTTCATTGTTGTTGTAAAGGATTTTGTTGAATCTCTATGTCTTAATTAGCTGTTTAGCAGCCTCGAATTTGAATGCCGATCACTCCACACGCGATCGGCATTCTATTTTTCCGAGGCATTTATCGACATGCAAAGTTGATATATTTGTTTAGGCAGCATTTGAGTACCCTGTTTTGGGTTGTCTTTGTTTTCTCTTTTCCTTATTCTTCCTTTGTTATTGTTTGCTTCATTGCCGGAATGAGTTTCGGGGTTGGATCAGGATCTTCTTATCATTCCGGAAATGGATTTGGAGTTGGAAGCCCTCTGCGGCGTTCTTCCAGTAACAAAGGCGGATTTTTAGGTTCATCTGCTAATGAGCGACCGGTTCACCAAGTTGATTATGTAGAGAAAGATCCTAAGGGTCGATATGTTCGGGTAATGCACTATACTCTCTGTTGTTTTTTGTATTACTTCTTCTTTATTGAGATTTTGAATTCTTGATTTGCTGTTTTATGATCACGAAAAGGAATGTCTGAGCGTGCCCTTACTCTAAATCAAAATCCAGCTCTTATTTTCTATTATAATTCCTCTCCCTCCTGTGCCTGTGAATTAAAGAAAGGAGGAGGTCAGTCAAAAGAAAAAAAAGAGATGCTAATTAGTCAAATGTCCAACTGATCACCCTGAATAGTTTACCGCACAAATTGAGTTGTCGTGACAATACCTTTCAACAACATATTCATATGCACCTGAAAAGGGATCAGACCAACCTCTTTGTTTGAAGCTTTGCCAGGAAGCTTCTACTTTCAGTGAGCAAGAGCTTATTTTATTTGTTGCTTCTTCAACAACAGATTTCATTAAACACTATCTTAATGTTGCTTCTTGATTAAACACAGAAAACTTCTTTTGAACTTTGAAGACTTTTTGCTTAGTTTGTGCAATCCCTTTTTTTCCTAGCATTGGTAACACTCCAACAGATGTGACATCTTTTTTTTTCTGTGGGTCAAGAATAAAGGCCAAGAAAGAGGCCAGCTTCAGCTCAAATCAATTTGAAGATATTTAATCAAATAGAAAAATCTTGGCAGCCAGATAACAAACTGCCTGCTCAAGACCATGCTACTCAAACAGACATGTATTGGACTTCCCAAACTGCATACTCCTTTAGTCATCCTGCTTCCTAAATTTGGTTTTGGGAGGTGGGGTTCGTGTGAAAAGAAGAGAGTAATCGAGAGAGGATACTTATAAAAAGGGTGGAGACAGAAGAAAAGGATTCTGAAAATACTGGTTTATGTTGATTCCTGCTGATATGGGGATTTGAATAGTAAGTCCAATTGAACTGCATTAGAGTGCTGAGTTTATGCTAATCCAAAGTATCTTTTTCTTGTTGCTGAATCACCATATGGGATGATACTGTGAAATTTCAAGTTCAAAATACAATATATAATTTTCTTTATAATAGAACATTAATCAAGGCACAAGTGAAACTCTCTGTAGTATTGAGATAGCTGTGAAAAGGAAAAGAAGGAAGGAGTATGAGATTCTCGTGTTTGCTTGAGACTGAATTCTAGTTCTTTAGCAACTTAAATAGCCTTTTTGCTTCCAAACAAAAGATTTAAGAAGTCTGAATATTAAGACAAAATTGGAACATATGCTGTTTAGCACTGAAAACTAGAGTATTATTTCACTGACATCATTTACATCACCTGCTTGTGTTTCCTCTACAGTACAGTGAAGTGTTGGGCAAGGGAGCATTCAAAACTGTGTATGTTCCAAAACCTTATTGCTGATTTTTATTGTTCCTTTCTATAGTACTAATTGTGTATTCAGAGCATAAAGCATTTTGTCTTTTTTATTAAAATTGTGTTTCAGCTACAAGGCGTTTGACTTACTTGATGGTATTGAAGTTGCATGGAGCCGAGTGAAAGTTGAGGATGTTTTGCAGTCGCCTGACGATTTGGGAAAGTTGTATGCGGAGATTCATATTCTTAAACAATTGAAGCATGACAATATAATGAAGTTCTGCGATTCATGGGTTGATGACAAGAAGAGAACAGTTAACATGATCACTGAACTCTTCACATCTGGGAACCTGAGGCAGTGAGTTTCTCATAGTATCTCATTTTCTTTACTTACAAATTGTGTTGTCCTACAATAACTATGTGAGTTGTAATTTTCAGATACCGTAAGAAGTATAGAAGTGTTGATATGAAGGCAATAAAGACTTGGGCAAGGCAGATGCTTCAAGGGTTAGACTATCTTCATAGTCAGAACCCTCCTATCATTCACAGGGATTTGAAATGTGACAACATATTTGTCAATGGAAATCATGGAGAAATTAAGATTGGGGACCTTGGATTGGCTACCATTATGGAGCAGCCTACTGTTAAGAGTGTTATTGGTATGGGTATTTCTTCTATTAATATGCTTTGAAATAATGTCCCCTCTTCTAAAACGCTAACTATATCTATTGCTCTGAAGGGACCCCGGAATTTATGGCCCCGGAGCTTTACGAAGAAGAATACAATGAACTAGTAGACATATATTCCTTTGGAATGTGTATGTTGGAATTAGTAACCTTTGAATATCCTTACAGTGAATGCAAAAATCCTGCTCAAATATTTAAGAAAGTTAGCTCGGTAAGTTTGATGAAGTTGCTTCTTTACTCTGTCTAGTCATTACATGTTTTTGTGAATCTAAGGAACTTTTATGCTCAGGGTGTTAAACCGGCTTCCCTCGGCAAAGTTACTGATCCCCAAATCAAAGAATTCATCGAGAAATGCCTGGTTCCTGCTTCTCAGAGGTTGCCTGCCAAGGACCTTCTCAAAGATCCCTTTCTTCAATTCGAGAATTTAAACGGGCCAATCCATAGTCTGTTGCAATCACCTTACCAAAGTCCAAGATCATTAAGTTCATTGAAATCTGCACCTCATTCGATGGATGTAGATTCCGATTGTAACCAATCAGTATGTACAGATTCCCATTGTGGAAGTCCTTGTGCTCCAACATTGGAGTTCCAGAGGTTTCATCAGAATAATGAATTTAAATTGACGGGTAAGAAGAATGATGAGAACTCAGTTTCATTGACCTTGCGGATTAAAAGCCCTTCGGGTACGTAGATGCATTCCAATTCTTTATTGTTTTTATTTGCTTGGCATTTTGGAATCAAATGGCTCTTGTTTATTTAAAGCCTTAAAAATTTGCAGGCAGAGTAAGGAATATACACTTCAATTTCTATCTCTATACGGACACTGCACTCTTAGTTGCGGCTGAGATGGTTGATCAATTGAAACTAGATGATCATGATGTAGATTTTATTGCTGACTTCATTGACTATCTAATAATGAAAATTGTGCCTAGTTGGAAGCCTTCAGATTATTATTCTAGTGGAGGGAGAAGTCAAAGAGAAGAGGCTCTACAGAACTACCTAACCTTGTCGCCCTTACCTACCACATCCAATGCTCGACAAGATGATATTCCAGTTCTCAATATGAATAACCAAACTAGCAGCATTACTCATCAAGTTGATGAAGATAAATTGTATGCTAATTCAAATGGCACTTCTTGTCGTGTTACTTTTGCTTCCCCTTCACATTTGGCAAGTGTGATAGATGGAGAGTCTGTTGCTTCTGAAGTTATGGGAAAGATTTCATCTCTAAAAAATTCATTTGGATTTGGCGATTACTTTACATGTGCAGAAGTAATCTCTAAAGGTTCTAGTGGAAACTTATCGGAGCTGGATTTCATGGGCTTGTTTCATGATGAATGCAAGTCACAGGGAAATGGTGGCGATTATGTAGAATGCATGTTAACAAATGGATTTGGAAAGAATCTGGAGGTGACCTTGACAGATACAAATAGAGCTTCTAAATGCATGAGTTTGTCAAGCAACTGTTCATTTTTATCGTTAGTATCAAAAGATGAGGAGAGTGAGTTAAAGTTAGAACTTGACACAATTGAATCACTGTATCGACAATGCTATCAAGAACTCTCAAGAATGAAGCTGGAGGCATTAGAAGCTTGCAGGAAGAGATGGATCACAAAGAAGAAGTTGGCATGTAATTAATTGAAGGAGAATAGCTGACAACAATTCATTCTTTTTTTTAAATCTTTTCTTAATTTGTGATCACATATTTGAATCCGTGATGGATTTTGGTATATCATTTTTTCAGACCTATCTTCCTTCATACCCCTTTATTTGTGTGGGTGAAGATTATATGTACTTTGTATAAAGTGTGTATATAGTCGTTTAGTTTTGCTGATTTTTAGCCTTTTTAAAACTCTTCTTCTTTGGCCATGGTTAGGCAAATGTTTTGGAATAATTGACTTGTAATATATGTTGATCATGCACTTTTTTTTTTCATACAAGCTACTTGTTAAATTGAATGTAATTATCCATAACCCAGAGGTTTAATTAGATCGACTTAAAACGAAAATTATGAACTACAATTTGGCAAATTGATACATAGCCTCTTGCTTTTGTTTCAAAATTTCAAAACACATCCATCGCACAAAGTAAAACAAAACATAATGTATAAATAACGAAGACGGTATGATTGTGTAATATTTGAAACCATAGGAGAGGTATTTATTACAAGTTGTAACTTCAAGGGAAGTTTGTGAAATTGTCTCAAAATATAAATATGTAAAAAATAAAAATAATAATAATTAAAATTTCGAGGTAAGATTTAATTTTACAGTAGATAATTACGATAACTCGATAAGATTAGTTAGAATCAAGATTCAAGCATATCCTCTTAGGTATTCAAATCCGTTTATTCTTCTAAGTCTTAAATGCCATTCTATATATATTAATAACCAAATAATTGCTTCGAATAATATATACATGAAGTTCATTATTTTTCCCTATAACTAAATCATAGAAGTTTTGTCAGATGGATAAATCAGTTGGATTACGAGGGTATTGCTGCTTCAATTGCCGGAATATTGTAGCAGATCATAATGATATCATTAACAAGGAATTTTTAGTTAAGTACATTAATTGGTTTCTTCTTTTTCTTGCAATTTGTTGGTTCTCTTTCAAAATATATAGTCAAACCTACCTTGACGTGCAGATCTCATTTAGTTGTTACAAACAAAAGTATTAAACAATTAGTTTAATAATTTTGTGATCATAACTAATTATGGGCACCATTGAAATGCATTTTTTCCTTTAAGATATTTGTACTTGAAATTTTACTATGATTTACCATAAATAGTTTACTATTTTATTTTTACATGATATATTTCTTGCGAAATATTATAACATAGTAATTTGAGTATGGTGTCTATCATTGTTATAGAGGTAGAATGTTGTTACAGAGAAGTAAAATAAAACATGAAAAATGGATTCTGGAGAAATAATTTGATTTTTTATGATGTATAGGGCATACATGAAAAGGGTCGTGGACGAGCATTTCTATTTTCTCATGCTATCAATGTTGTTGAGGAGCCTCCATATTGCATGCAAATGATAAGTGGTCCTCATGTGGTGTCTGATATTTTATGTGCTGAATGTGGCAAGAATTTGGGCTGGAAATACAAGAAAAGTTTTCGTGATGTTAACAAGTACAAGGAAGGCAAAATTGTCATGGTTAAGTACAACATCATCAAGGTTTAGGTTGTTCAGCCTCCTTTCAATGATATGAATGTATGTTTAGTTCATTCATTATCATGTTTAAAGTTTTGAACTTTGACATTTATACATTATTTAGTTATATATGCACTAGATTTTGGGTCAATTTGAGATGCTCCATATGGTTTATTATAAAGTCTATGAGGGTTATCACTGAAAAAAGAGACCCCAATTAGACTTAGATATAGAGAAATGGAAGTCATTAACAATGCCCTTTGTATGAACAATTGACTAGGAACGTTAACTAGTGCTAGTAATTGACGATTGAACAAAACTTGACTCCCTCAACTTGGGCTTAAAAACATCCTCTTTGCCTTGACTAGTGAAGAAAAATCCTATGTACCGACGGTATTAATTTATTTATTTTTTTACACAATTAGATAGTTAGACGCGTTTATTCTGATAGTATGCTCGGCCTTCACTAACATTTTTTACTCCCCTTTGATGGATCATAACATTATAAAAAATCAAATTATACTGATTATGTAAATTCTTTAAACCGACGACTTAAATTCCATCAAATATTATGGGACCAAAAGGATTTCAAAATGAGAAGATAGCTAGGAAGCTTCAAAGAAGGAGGACAAGTAAAAAGACAAACTAAGGAAAAATCCTTGTGACAAGTTTGACATCACATTTTAGTTCAACTTTCTAAGTAGCCTGAGTTGGAACTTTCTTAGTTTGACATCACATTTTAGTTTAACTTTCTAAGTAGCCTGAGTTGGAACTTTCTTTTGTACAGTAGATATATAGCCAAGCACAAATTAATTAGAAGAGAATGAAAAGCGAAGTTGGTAAATATCAAGACTTGTTACCGGTGATGGCGGACAAGCTGGACGTGGATACATTTGTCAAGGAGCTATGTGGAGGATTCCGGCAACTGGCTGACCCACAATCAAATTGATCGCACCGTCTAGTTTGCAGAAAAACTCTGGATTTTGGGAATGAGCAGAGAAGATGCTGAGGCTAGGGTGAGAGAAGGAGACTTGGATGGTGATGGGGCATTGGACGAAAATGAGTTTTGCATCCTCATGGTCAGACTTAGCCCAGAGATTATGCAAGACGCTGAGTTATAATATCGGTTTTACTCTCTGAAACTTGAACTTAAATATTTCATTTTCATCGGATCAGTCTAGTTCCAGAAAATGATGGCATTGGTATAATTTTTATGTTTCCTACAAATTGTACTAGAACGTTACTTTGATGCTGCACAACCCATTTAAAGTTGGGGCAATAATCAAAACGAGAGAAAGAAAAGGCAGGACATGGTATAAACAGCAGACATCACTTGGAGCATAATGCTATATCGTCCCAATTTGTGCTGAATGTCATAAGCTAACAAGTACTTTCTTACATGTGTTCCTTTTCATTCAGTCATAATTACGTGTAAACTGCTCTAAAAGAAAGCAGAGCCAAGGATTCCACCATGAAAATGTTTCTCAACACCCAAATTGAACTGCCAAACTCTCTAAAGTTTAAGCAACAATCCATTACATTCATACACAGCATCTATTTATATTACGATACCAGAAAGGAGTAGTGATCTTCATCTGATAAAGTACTGCTTCAAGTTCTTTACCTCCGAACAGGAGACCTGCTGAAGTTATGGAGGAAAAAGAAAGTGAACAAAAGCTCTCCAATTTATTTTTGATAAAGTAAAAAGTGAACAAAAGCTCCCCACTTACAGCAAATTACAGAACTTCCTAAACAGTAGCTAGACTCAAATACTAAAATGAAATTTTCTGTCAGACACTACGAATCTACCTGCGATAGCTTCCATACTCTGTACTCCTGTACCGATCATATGATGAACCATTGTATTTTTCATATGCGGGGTTATGAGGACGACCATAATCAGGACTAGATCGACCCCTGCGATACATAGGACTCGGTGACCTTCGGTAAGGACTATCACCATGCCTGCCATAGTCTCTTCTAGGGCTATCATACCTGTCACCCCTCTCACCATCATCCCTCAAAGCATACTCTACAGAAACAACTCTGTCGAGGATCTCACTGCAAATGCCAAAAACTCACTTCTTGTCAACAAGAAAAATAGCAAAAAGTAGACATGAAATTGCAATATAAACAAACAGAAGAAAATGCAGTGACAACCTCATGTGTGTACACTCCAAGGCTTTTGAGGCATCTTCCTGATTTTCATATTGCACAAATGCAAAATTTCGGCGTATTCGAACATTAAGGATCTTTCCATACGGTTCAAAGTGTCTCTCTATGTCACGCACCCTAGTGCGAATAGGGTCGAAGTTAATGACAAACAAAGATCTTGTTGGTCTTTGGTTTACTGCAACCTTGGAATCATCACGAGGTCGACCACGGTCACCCTGCCAAAACAAAGATACAAACCATAGTTCTTACATAACCTGTTGACTACAACTTCAATCCTATTGTATCTTGGAGAAGGTGATGACATTTACCAAATTTGAGAAGTAAAGAGTGCAAGGAAAATACCTTTGCCCATTCCACTGATAACCGGCGCTTGTCATACCCAAATGGCATGTTATCAAGACTACGGATGGCATCAGCTGCATCACGCTCATCCTCGAAGTAGACAAACGCAAAGCCTGTAGTTGTAAAGACACCATTATAAGTATAATAAAAAGTAAGACAAGAAAGTTTGAAATCTTTCGAGCAGAGTGTACATCACTAAATCAAAGCCCTCATCCCCTTTAGGAAATAAAAAAGTACAACACCTGCAAGTATGTGAAGGCCTGATGAAAGTAAGGAGAGAGAGAGGCCTTGCATGAACAAAATCATGATGATGATGAAGTCTTATTAAAGGTTTAAATCCAAGAAGTCAAGCCTGAGTAGTCATTGCTAAGCATGCTTCACCAATTTCACAGCACGATTCAGAATATGGAGGCAAGGCATGATAGAATTCATTGATCCGCTTATTAATAGTGGTAGGCATGGCATGAAGAACAGATAGATCCCACCACAACCATTCTTGAAAAATGGCAACATGGGCAATGAAGTAAGTGAATGACAGAAGATTGATCTAAGAAATGCAGTATGATTCCATCATTGAGGAGTACAGGAAGACATATAGGTTGCCTTGCAATAGAAGTTTTTGCAAGTGTTGAGCCATGATACAAGCTCTTTTTTCCTTAGGAGATGTTCCTGCGTCAAAAGAAACACTTAAAATATGGAGATCCTCCGAATGAATTTCACATTTGGCTCCCCACCATGTCTTACCAGGTCCTGTGTGCACATACATAGCTACAACAAAGTAGCTATGTACCAAAGCAATTACATTTAAGCAAAATATCACTATCGTGTATCCAGAAAAAAAAACACTATACTCATATATTGGGAAGGGAGGATCAGCACGATAATATGAATGAAGCTATTAATCAATATCCCCGATAGTACTCATCCCAAACTGATTGGGGTCAGATATATGAAACCTGGCAAGACATGGATTACTTATCCTGATAGGGAGTATGTTTACACTGGTGAATAGTGACTACCAGCCTACTCCTTTTACACAAACTGGCTGTGGCATTCAAAAAACAAAAGGAAAACATTCATAGCTCCAGAAAGGTCAACACTGCCTGGATTTGAAAAACAAGTGTCCTGACATTAAAGAATCATGTAAATAGTAACCTAATGTATTTTAATTTGCAATACAATTGCATGAATAAAGCTAATTTAGGGTGTTATTTTCTTGCTACTCTGTTTTAAACAGTACCATTACCAAACAAAAGTAATACACCTAAAGAACACCCATCTCCCCAAACACCCTCCAGGAAGAATGCTACAAAGAAAGAGCCTCCAACAGAAAACACTAGTTACATCTATGCACTGTGAAAAAATGAAACTAAATACAAGTAACCTATGCATAAATCCCCTACTCCTATGTGCCCTCTTCGATGAATTTATCATCTCAATTTTTTGTACAGTTTCCTCTAGCTATCATTTTTTGTATTTATCTTTATTAGTCATATATATCATCAAGAATAAATACATTAAAAAGCCAACACAATTAAATCTTAACCCTTCAAATGAACATAAACAATCAAGCAATCAACTACGCCTCAAAGGAACAACAGTAGAATAAAAAAACTAACAAAATCAACAAAGAAGGAAAAAAAAAAAAAAAGACAAAAGGGTTACCAGATTTCATGTCAACACGCTCGATCCTTCCATACTTGGAGAACAATCGCTCCAGTTCTGGTTGACGTGCATCATACTCGATATTCCCCACGAATAAAGGCCTCATTTTCGACTCCAAATTATCGTTTGCCTAAAAAAAATTAATCAACAGCGCTGTAAATGGATTTGTGTACAAGCAAAAAATAAAAATCCTTACTATCAATCAATGAATTACATGTCAATTCTAACAAATGAATTCCTATTTGGTAATTTTGCTTCATACAAACGATTTCAAGTAAGAATTTAGGGTTAAGGGGAACGGAAAATATTGACCTGCAAATCCTTAGAACTCAAACAAAAGCATTCGTCTTCCAGAAAAGTTCTACGGGGCCGAAACAGCTTAAATGTTACTTTGGGGCCTGTTTCTAGCCTGCGGGTGGACCAAAGCCCACTTCATTGGAAATTGAAAAAAAAATAATCAGGATAGGCGTAATAGAATTAGATTGATATGTAGTTTAAATTGATCTATAAAATATTTTTATTTTATTTTGATTTGTTATATATAATTATAATAAATTAAAAAGTTTATTAGATACTTAAACAAGTCATAAAATTAAAATTTAAGTAGTAAGAATTGGAAAGTTGAGTTATGACCTATTGACATGTTTGTTAAGCTTATTTATCCAACACATTTTGATTCAAGTAATTATTAAACAAGTTCCAAATTCATTTCAGCTACCTATTTGACATTTATAATTTTTGTCATCGTTTATCTAGCTAACATAACTTTTATCTTCAGGCTCTCCTTCTTCATTCTTCTCCTTTTTCTTCCTAATATTTTAATTTTCTTATGAAAATATTGTCATTACTTAAAACCCTGCTGGTTCTTATGAGGGAAAACAAATGATAAGGACAAGTATTAATTATGAGGTCCTAGGTACTTATTAGGGAAAACAAATGATAAGGACAAGGATTAATTTCATCGATTGTAACTAAACTTATTATTTATAATACGGAAAAGGGCCTAAAATATCCTTTAACTATGCAAATTGGTACAAAAATACTCTTATTCTACCTTTCGGGCCTAAAATGCCCTTAACGTCAACCTTTGGACTCTATTTTGCCCTCATCTTTAACAACCTAAATTTATTAATGACGTGTCACTATCCTATTATTGGCTATCCTAAAAATTAATTAAACTAATTTAAAAAAACATATACCCACCCATAAACTTACCCAAATACTCTAACCCAACCTTCATCCCCAAACCTTTTAACCTAAAAAACTTAGCTCCAAATCCAAATCCAAATCTCCTTGCTACTCTCAACCCAACCGAACTTTGCACTCATTACTGAGCCTTTCTTTCTATGCTTGCAGTCGCAGGAACTTATATGTGAAGATTTTACTTTTTTTTGTCACACTAAAGTATGTGTTGGAAAATTATATGCGCAGCGGAAGCATACCATAATCTTATTGCTTACGTGAAAAATAGATAATCAATACCATATATGCTACAACACATAATCATGCTATAACACATAAATTTGCTGAAATTTAATTTGATAAATACATTTTGAAGCGTGAACAGATACCTTCAAGCGAATTAGACAGACCTTCAAGCGAATTCATAAGATAGACGACAACTATGGTCTTCTACAGTGATCCCAAGGTCACATCCGAATTCTCTCAATACTTGGGTGGACAAGTATCATATAGAAAATTGATTTAGATTAGAAGAAACCTTATTTATAGAGATTTTTTCCCAGTTCAAAAAGGAGTTATTTTCCTTCATGAAAAAGAAACACACGTTTCTTCTCCAAAAAAATACACGCTCCTTTTTTCTTTTTCCCTAGTAATTGGATTGCTCTCTATACTGTAAATCAATGGAATCTTTTGTTGTAAAAAGAGATCCATTATTTTGTAAAAAAAAATAAAAAAATGTATGGCTGTAGTTTTCTGTGTTCACGTGAACAACTATAGTAGTAATTTATTTTTTTTGGCAATTAAGGAGTAGTAGCTGTAGATCGATAATGCTAGTGTTGGCGGCAGCAGTGTACTGCGTTTTGGCAAAGTGAATATTTAATTATTTGCCAAAATAATTGATACTACATTTTAATTGCATTCGTTCTTTTGGATTGACCAAGAATCAATTTATTCCCCAATTAAAATTACAGATACTAATCAATAAATTAAATTACTGACGAATTTAATTCAATGATCAATTTCCTTTAGAGCACTACTTAACTTATTTCATGTGTCGGATTCATAAATCCACTTACAAGGTTTGACACCATGAAAACTTATAAGTTTCTCAAAAAAAGGCATATCCATCAATCTCTATAATGAGATATGGATTTCATCAACTAACTTATTATTTCACCAGTATATATTATTATCATCCAATCTACCAGGCATATTGACCCATCTCAGAATCTCACCTTTTAATAAATCAAAACGATAATTAATATATACAGATCATAATAGTTATATCAAGATTAAGAATATAAGTACATTTAATAGTTTAGAGAATATGTTTTTGTCAGCCAGTCTAAAACAACTATCTCTACTCGGTCCCGTTCAATACATACAAAATGTACTAACACAAGAAGTTGGAACTATACCGTTTCCATAATCAAGATAAATTACATATAATCTTGTGCTACAATCGTACCGATGGCATGTCCAATTTCCATCCTGTGAACAAAAAAAATTATATTTATAAGAACCGATGATTTAATCCTCTGTGTATAAGCTAAAACTCTACACACTAAATCATCTATTGTACAAGTAAAAAGACACCATAAACGAATATATAATCTATTAAAATTGAGCAAATATTTATTCTATAATAAATATTATTTCTTAACATATGGTTAATAGTATATATCCCAACAGAATGAATTGTAGTTATTTTGTCAAAGAAGTAAGCTAGGTGTTTTTGAAATTTACAAGAAGCAAACTTTGCATTTGTGTAGTTATATATCTCAGATTTTGCATTCATTTTTTGTTGATATGTTACAGTAAATTGTTAATAGAGAGCATACACTTATATGGAAGTTATGATATACTCTTTGTTTCTCATACTGAACAAAAGAACATATAATTTGGCATACTGAACAAAAGAACATAGCTTTAGCTAACTTTCGTCTCCTTCTCCCTTTCGTTTATTTTCTTTCATTTTTGCAATTTTCATGTTACAAAAATATGTAATATATTGCACGACAATAATCGAGTTTCATTTGATTAACAGTATGTTACACGAACATACTATAATGATAATAACAAATGTGGTAAATATAGAATAAAATAAAGTTTTATTTCAAGTCTAACCCATTACATGAATTTATAAATCATGATCAGGAGCTCTGGATTTTGATTTGGAGCAAGGAGATTTGGATTTGGAGAGTAAGTTTTTTAGGTTAAAAGGTTTGAGGATGAAGGTTGGGTTAGAGTATTTGGGTAAGTTTACGGGTGGGCTATTGGGTATATGTTTTTTTTTAATTAGTTTAATTAATTTTTAGGATAGCCAATAGGATAGTGACACGTTATTAATGAATTTAGGTTGTTAAAGATGAGGGCAAAATAGAGCCCAAAAGTTGACGTCAAGGGCATTTAAGGCCCAAAAGGTAGAAGAAGAGTATTTTTGTACCAATTCGCATAGTTGAAGGGTATTTTAGGCCCTTTTCCGTTTATAATATTAAAATTAAAGTCACAAAAACTCTCATTTTCTCATAGTCATAGGGTCATTTAGTTGTGAATAAGTTATCTCATGGTGAGATAAGTTATCCCAAACTTATGACCAAACATGACACCAAAATTTTATTCCTTGACTATTTTTTATACCAAACTATTTAATTTTATCTTTCGTATCAAATGATCCCATACTATACATATAGATACATGGGAAAAGGGTCAAAAATCCCCTTAAATTATGCGAAAGTAACAAAAATGTTCTCCATTTGTTGTTTGGTCCAAAAATGCCCTTCTCATCAATACTTTGGTCCAAAAATGTCTTTATTGTTATTTTGGGTAAAAAAAATGCTCGTTTTTTCAAATAAATATATTATTTATTTTCTTTTTAACACATTCTTTTTCTAATAATATTTTTTTAAATTAGCAAATGTTTATCTTCAATTCAAAAAAAATAAAAAATGAAAATATTTCTTATTTTATTATAATTATTTGCTACAGTTATATAAATATAAATTAATGATGGATATACTATGATCCTATACATATGACGTATATTATCTGTCGAGATGGTACATGAAGTTATTTTTATTTTAAGAAAAAAAATATTTCCTACATTTTTATTTGTTAAAGTGATTTTAATAGAAAGAAAATAAGATCATAGTTCTTAATAATTTAATTAAGAAGAAAATGTGTTTAAAAAGAAAAAATAATATACTTATTCAGAAAAGGGCATTTTTGATCCATTTTAGTATATAGGGATATTTTTGGAACAAAGTATTGACTGCAAGAGCATTTTTGAACCAGCGTATTGACGATAAAAGTATTTTTGAGCCAAACTATAAATGAAGGACATTTTTGTTCCTTTCATATAATTTGGGGGCATTTTTAACCCTTTCCCCTAGATATATATTACATGTAAGTCATTCTATATTTGGTTGGATAAAATTTTGTATTTTGACTATTCGTAACTCCAATCACTTCTTTCTATTAACCACTGAAGCCGTATCATGGCCTTGTCATTTTCACTTAGCAGTTAGCTTTCTCGTGCGAGAAGAATTTGCAAGGTTTGTCCTTGACTTCTTTGTCCCTCACTTGCAGTCTTGTACATCACTCATCACATCCACACAAAAATTCTACTCCTATATATTGTAATCAATAATTAGTCCAGAGACTTGCCCATTTTTTATTTATTTTTTTGCTCAATATTTGATATCTGAATTGAAATTAAGTAAATTTGGATTCACATATTGCAAGACTCATTTTTTAAAACGATGCTCTCAATAGAACTTTTTCATTTTCAGAAGCTCAAAATTTATGATTGACACTAAAGGGTTCCTAACTATTCATGTTACAATTACCGATTAAAAAATTAAAGCGCTCAGTTTGTTATAGCTACAAAAAAAAATCAGCTTTAGCATACTTCCGTACGTAACTAATTACAGTTAAATGATCGTACGACATATAATGACACATGGCATATATTTAGTGAATGCCTAATTGTGAGTAATCTTTGTATTAAAGTAATTCTCTTACTTCCTCAATAGATTTACTGTATCCGTGGCGGAGTCTGAATCATTTTTGTTGAATAAGAGTCAATTGACTCTTCTTTATCGGAGTTATAGATAGATCATTTCTTGTATAAAGTATATGTTGATTATTTTGATATATTTATTTATTTTAAATAT